GATTATACCAGCCTAAGATTGAATATTTGCAACAAAATCAGTTTTGTTTCCTTAACACACCATGCCTTCCTCAACCTCCCTCGTAGCTTCTCCACGATTCCTCCATTTCCTGTGCAAACGCGCACCCTCGCACTTACCAACAGCAACATGGCGAATGAGGAACAAAGGAGGGCATTTGCATCGTATATGGGTGTGCGCACACCGACGGCTGGTAGCAGCCAGGGCCAGATTCAGGGCCATCCAGTGGCCCAATACCCGGGTGCTGTCGCCCAACCTGCTCATCCGTATCTTTTCAATGTGTGAGTAAAAAAAGGCTTCCGTCGTGTGACAATTGGGGTACTGACCATGATATATAGAAGCACTCACCAGCCCGCAAATTTCTTGACAGATTGGCAACTTGCCGTCAGCTAACGTTATTGGAGCAATCTCACGGTCTTGGGGTACTCCCCGCTGCGCCGACTCCTCCACCTGCCGCAGCCTCTTCAGTTGCTTCGTTCCCGCAGGCTGGATACTCTCAGACTAGCTTTCGTACCGGCTTTGGTCAAGGCATCTTTGGTCAACACGGTCTTCCCCAACGCCCAGGGCCGCTTGGTCAAGCGCAGACCAACCAACACCAACAGCATATGCAACAGCCAGGATCAGAAGGTTACACCTCGGCACCAGGATACTACAACGCGCACCCGCCGCCATCAACCGGGTTCAACACTGGTTGGCAGCAGGTAGACCAAGCCGCTGAGCAGACCAGGCGACTGAGTGGTGCTCCTCAGGGCGCCATGATCCCAAATGTGCCCCCCCAAGGGGTTATGGAGTCACACTTCAGGCAAACAGACGACTATTATCACTATCACCAACGCGAACAGCCTCAACCGCCCCCTCAGCAATTCGAAGAAGTAGCGGTTCCAGTGATGCTCTGTCACACCTGTAGTCATTGTGGACAGATGCGTTCTGCGGGCTTTCACCGCAACAATCCTGTTCTTCCTGGCAAGCATCTGGTACCTACTGCATGTCGGCGTTGCAAGAAGAGGATCAAACAGGGCAATCATAGCAGTAGCAGCTTTGTGCGTATCCGTTCCTGCACGGCTGATACGCCATGTGACTGGCCGGAGGAGCCCGCCTATGTTGATTTCGACGGCGTGGAGCGTAGGGAAAGGCAACGCAACCGAGCCGAAGTCCACGTAACGGCTTACTCTCCAGAACGTCCTCGTATCGTCAAGCGGACCTCAAGCCAGGTACATATTGGCGTTGGCGTTCTCCAGCAACCACCTCGCGACCACAGATACGAGAGGAAAGCTCGCTTGTCTTCGTTGAGTCCTCACCGGCCTTCAAGAGACGGTGAAATCTGGCCTCCCCCAGACATCGTACGTATGCGTCCAGCAAGGTCAGAAAACGTCTTCTCCGCACCGCCTGAACCTCTGCCAAACCAGACCTCGAAATCAAACGAGGTATGGCCGCCTCCGGATATCGTACGTAGTCACTCGTTCAGGACGCTCGAGAGGTCTGCTTCACATCGGCGAAGCAGCCGCATTGTTGAGCTAAGCCCCTCACCACCACCGCGACGTGTACGCACGAGATCGACAAGAGTTGTTTTCCGAAGCAAGTCACGGGAGCGGCGTCCGAAAAGTCGAAGCCGATCCCCAGCTGGTGTCAGATTTCAGGAGCAGGCCCATAGCGAAGATGCACATGCCCGTATTACTGCACATCCACGACCGTTCCGCGCAGTCTCTGTCAGTCGCCACGCTATCCCAAGATCTTCCGATGAGACGTCTAGCAACAATGACACTACGCCTCGCAGCCGTCCAGACTCGCCTAGTAGACATATCCTCAAGCCTGTAGGCATCGAACGTGTCATGGATGGGAGACGTGCAGGTCTGCATGAGCCTCGACAGAGTATTCATGACGATCTTAACGTGCCCCATGTGCACTTTACTGCAAAGAACAGGAGCGAGACTCTAGTTGACAGGGGTCGCCCAAGACATGCGCATGCGCGAGTCAAGAGTGGCGATGTCTACGAGCATTTTCGCGAATACTCTCGGCATCGAGTCGTCGAAAAATCTCCACCTGCGCCTCCTTTGGAGGAGTTCGAGAGGCTCCGCATACGACGGCACTCGCTGTCTCCATCCAAGGATACCGAAGAAGAGATCCGCATCGATCGAGCACGTCGCATCTCACCGTCTCCTCAGCCGACCGGATATTCAGAAAGGAGTGGCATACGGCACGCTTCGCCTCTGCCACGGCATGAACGCATGAATCTTAGTCCTCGATCCCCATCTTCACCAGAGCAACCGCCATGTCCGGAATTCAGACATGTCACACGAGCGCGGCACGTTGGACGTGCATGGCCATTGACACCGCCACCAGCCTCACATAAAGGCAAGTCGGATGTAGAAGATGTCACGGATTCAGACAGTGCTCATTCTGGCGAAGTTACGGAAGTGCGGAGCTGGAGGGGCCTGGATGAGAATGGACGGCCGGCGACTTTTGTAGAACAGCGTAGGCGGGTGAGGATGATTGAGCAGGGAGGTGAGCGGGGAGATGAGTTCAGGCCCATGGAGGAGAGGTTCGCGGCGGCGAGAAGTTGGAGGGATGTCTGAGAGGGGTTGCCGCTGACTTGAAAATGGGCGAAGGGTGGGAAAGAACTATGTAAGTGGATGAATGGGTCGGAGAAAGACGTCAATGTCTTGTCGCTTGCACTTCGTACTCCTAGAAAACCTGCGGTTTACTGTTCGAACCGTCCCACCTTCAAAGTCTCTATTCAGAGTCTATTGAACCAAAATCTTACTGGGCCCCGCAAAATTACCTGATCGTCCATGCACTGCTATCCGACCTCTATGTACTACCCTGAGCCCACACGCTCTAAAGAATGACCCGTAATTGAGTCGCATGCTTTCTCTAGACGACAAGAAAGACGGGAGTAGGTAGGCAGTATGTCCATGAACTTCACGTAGAGGAGATACATGCTCGCATGTATGCATGTTGGTGGTACCCATGTGTGCGAAGATAGGTAAACATTATTCAAAAAATCAATGCAGTCGCACAAGCGATTGCCAATCCTCCATAGAATACTCTAGGCCTGCACGCCCACATGCGCATTCATCGTACCTACCTATACCAACAAAACATTTAGAGTTTATGGGTGTTGTGGGTGCGCACGTGGCGTCTGGGACCTGACCTGCATAAGTTGAGCCTCGACGGGGTGGTTGGTTTCCGTGCCCGTAGGTCCCCAACCTACCGTACAGGGCGGGCTGGCTTCTAGACGTGTTTCTTTGGTAGAGGGCGTTCCCCTTGATTGTTAGGTCCAAGTCATTGAAAATTTGTGCGGCGCTGGGAAAGGCAAGACGCGGTACATATACCGATGTGCCGTGGACGGACCAAAGGGTAGAGGTCGATCGATGAGATGGTAACTAGGGAGCGGTACGGTACTAGATGGGGAAGTTTAGTGTGGGGATCCACACACATATTCAGTCGCAAAGGTACATGCTTCATCACCACTCGCAGGTGCTATGCTCTACAGGATCGGCCTTTTGCAACATGGATATCCTTTTATTACCCACCTATCGCATCCATCTATCGCATGACAGATGTGCCAAAGTTTGGTCGACCAGGTCGGCAGTATAAAGTTCTAGCGTTGTTCCAGATCATCGCCTTCTACGCCCCTAAGCGCCCTCGAGTGTCAAGGTTTGGACGGGCTCGGGAGAATCGTCGAAAGCGGTGCTACTCTAACTACCGGGTGCAGCAAGGATATGAGGGTGCGTGTGGGTTGGGTACGGGTTGGAAAAGCAAAGTTGGAAGACTGTTAGGTGATCTGCATCATGGCGGGTTTCTTGGAAACAAACATATGCATTCTCTATATTTTATGTATCGGATATCTACATGATGCGATTGAGCTCCCATAACTCAATTTGATGCGGTTATGTGGGTGTAGGATTGGATTGGTGGCCATGGATTGAACCATTCAGCGGGGACGGAGTCCCCTCAGCTACCCATGCAAATTGAGCCAGCCACAATCATCCGCATCGGAACAGATGGCGGAAAGGATACAAACGCTGTGGAATAAACATGATGACTGATTGAATTTTGGCTGCGCCAGGAGGGCGATTACATGTCTGCCCGGGGTATCTCTGAATTTGTAGTGAAAGATCACATGGTCCTAAAATGGGTATCTATGCAAAAGTGTCGTACCTAATAGGTGGTCGCCAACGGTGGGTGACTCCGATGACGTTTTTTTTTTTGGCTATTTTCTTGGGGAAAAAAAGCAAGACGCTGACCTTGCAAACGCTGAAAATGAAGAGAAGATGATGGACCATGCGACAGATATCGAGATGCCGCACTCAGATCTCCGCTGACCTCGGCCGGAGAACGCGAGGAGCTACACAAAGATCATCAGTGATCATTCAGTCTCGATCAAGGAGACTATGTTCTTGTGCCCAGCCCAAACATCGATAGACGACTCTTCTTGGGCTTACCTCGCGTCTCCTCTTGGCTATTCCACGGGGAAATGTCATTCATCTTCAGACGTCCACCAAGACCAAGTCGCTCGCGAGGAGACTCGTACCAGTGTTTGGAAAGTTCTGATGGAGCAACGGTAGAGGGCGCGATTGAATGAGTGTCCCCTTCACCATTACTATTGTCGTAGTCGCGAACTGTTCCCAACGATTCAGTGCTGCTCGCAAGCGAGACTTCGTACAAGGTTGGCAGAGCTGATGCTGATGGTATCCTTCGATAGGATGGCATGGATGACGATCGAAAGGTGGGCGGCCTAGATCCGCTAGAATTTGAACGATTGGAATTCAGGACGGGATGAACAGGCGCATAATGTGGAACCGCTGTTGGTGCAGCGGGCGATGAAACTATGGGCGATTCCGCCACGGGAGAGTCGTTCTTTCCCGTCTCGATGATAGGTTGGTCGCTGAAGAGAAAGTTGTGTGAATCGGGTACACCATCTTCTTCTGGTGATTGTAGGGCACGCGCATCTTCCTTGCACGGGTTTTGCTGTGGCTGGTCGTTCAGCTTCCTGAAGATGTTGTCTGCAGCATCGCGGATGGCGGTATTGATTGAATATGTAGAAGAGGCAGGCGAATCTGGCCTGAAGTCCAAAGATTCGTCTATGCTAGACTCGGTGCAGGCAGTAGAATCCGAGAGCCTAGGAGCAAGTTCAGTCGACGACCTGCGCTCTACCGTGGTCATAAACGGCAGCTTTTCCGACTGTTCTCCGGCGTCTGGAAAGTAGTAGGATATCTCGGGTAAGGCTGTGGTTGATGGCGACCATGTCCTCGCGCCGTCTCCACCAGGCAAGTTTGACGTTGATAGTGCAGATGAAATCATCGAATTAGGCGGATTGCGCGTCCCATCCGTCATGACGGTCAATCTGGATTCGTTCCAAGTGATGCCTCGGAGATGGGTGGCGAAGGTGCCCCGTGATATCACGCTGCTTCGGTTGTCCTTGGAGGAGGCACTAGCTGTCGAAGACCGATTTTTCTTGAGGTCAGGAACACCATCCCACTTGGAATTGACCTTGGGAACATGTGGGGGCAATTTCTGGTTGGCATAATTGCCGGTGGATCTGAAAGGTGCGGCAATGGATCCTTTTTTGTCGGCGGCCTGCTTGCACTGTTGGTCGGCGAATTGGTCGAGGGCGGATTGGGAGGGTTCCTTCAAGGAAAGAAAGCTCAGCACCGAGCCGGCCTTTTTCTTCTTCCTCGATGACCTCGAGGCATCTGAGGAAGCGGTGCTGGAGAGTGTGGAAGCCAGGCTGGGTGATGACAGACTAGCGGTGTCGAAGGATGGTCGGGATCTGGACGAGGCTGGGTTAGAGCCGGGTGTGGTGGAACGGTCTAGGACGGAAGTAGACACGGAACCGGTGTGCTGGGACAGGTGCGAAGAGAGCGAGGACTGACCGTCGGAGGGCAGGGGATTTCGATACCTCAACTTTGGGATGCGTGCAGGTGGGCGATGGGCTGTTAAGTCTACCGTGGGCGCCATGGCCAGCGAGAAAGCGCGTCGGCGGTGATCTCGGTGGACTGGTCCGTTGCAGGTTTAGTGAAGCCAATCGGTTTCGAAGTAGGTAGATGAGTGGGTGGAGACTGAGTGGTGGGTGACTGGCGCCTCTTCGCCTAGAGTAAGCGTGATTTGTGCAG